TGACTGCACGTTATCCGCTGAACAAATCCCATTTGATAACGTGTCTTTATGTATTCATAGTCATTGTGCGTATTAGCCGTGCAAGGTACGCGCTTCCGGCCGCCTCTTTAACACGTCGGCTTTTTATCTTCGAGCCAAGCCTTCGTTTCTCGAGTGACGCGAGCGAGAGATCGCCGATCGATAAAAGCCGTTTCACTCGTACGGCCGTAGAGACTCGGGCCGGGCAGTAAAGATAAATATATTATTCGGTCGCGATTAATCTGGCGCGAGTCAATAAATGCGATTTTATCCGTCATCGATTGCCGACGTCGAGCAGATCCCAACGAAATGCTAGCTGATACAGCGCTCCATCGATGCACCGGTCATATCGGTATATATACATTTCTTTTTTTTTATATCAATGCGACTTTATGCAGCAAATCATAAATTAATGACATGCGCGGGTACCAGCATAAAACAGAATGAGAATAACGCGCGCATTCGGTTGGGTGATTTTCTAATTGGACGCTGCGACTCAATTTATAATAGAATAATTAATTAGTATGCTCGACCAATGACCTAAATAATCTTGAGCTAAGACTGCAACTATCGCAAGTATGTGCATCAACGTGAATAGTCATTTGTCAATATTTATACATATATCTGCATGAGCGAGCAGCTGCTGCTTTTTAGAATAAATGTAACAAGGAATGTGAAAATAATCGAAAAGTTTCAGTAGCATACAAAAATACTCAAGCGGTAAAACACAAGCGGCAAATAAATCAACATTTTATATTTGTTATATACTGCCTATGTTATTGTACCTTACGTATTTACACTATTAAATTGATAATGTCAAACTGTACCCAATTTGACTAATTTTTAATCACTTCTATAGATCGCCATTGTTCTCACTCAATGTATGTCGTTACTTTAACTGAAACAATAGATTTGAGACTTTAATTTAAAAGATGTATTACATTCAGTTTATTATTACGGAAAGCTAAGAAACTTTCAAATACATCAAGAGGAAAATGACTACCTAAATAACGAGATCCTTCGAAGGATTGGGTTTTATTTAAGAGAATGGACTTCGCAGAATTTTCGTCGACACGTTCGAAGCTCGAAGATCACTGATCACGAAGCGAGTAGCGCGAGAGGGATCGGCGTGTACCTCATGAGTACTTTTACAAATCGGGAGGCCGGTCTAATTTTCCGCACGCGAGTGATCCGACGGCACTCGAATGCACTTGGACAGAAAACGCTAATGAAGGATGGAATAGGACGGTTCTTGGAGATAGTTAGTGAAAATTATTATGATGAAAAAGATAAATTCAATGAAGGTTCTAATCGCAAATTGTTATCGACGTTTGTCGCTCTACATCAAACAAATGTAACTGTAGTTGAATTATGTACAAATAAACGAAAACGGATGATTAATTATTAACATACGTCTAAAGTATTCAATAAAAAATTATTTTAATTCTACTGATATGCTATTAGAAGCAAATATATGGTAATAAATATTTTATTTGTATAAACTTAATATAAAATAATTTAAGTTTTGTGAAAATGTGTATATTTGAATAAATATAGCTTATTATCAAATATTTTTTTATATTATAAACATTTAATAAGTTTATTAGAAATCATACATCTTGCGCCGCTCATTGATCAATAAGCGGTAAAAAGGCGTGACAATCGAAATCAATGTAGAGGAGGTGTTCGAGAAAATTATTATCATCGTGCATGCGCATTCTGAAAGCATAATTTTCGCTGCACCACAACTCATCGACGTGTGATAAAGATTACGTAGGTATAGAATCTAATTACGCCGATAAACATTGTTGCGCCGATACACCTGCTCGTAAATAACATAGAATCAAACGTGTATCAGGTTACATCGTAATATACCCGGACTAGCAGGGAACAGGTCCTTGAGCCCTGTGAAACGTGTACCTGGGACTGCCCATACTCTACGCGCACTTTCATCAGGGACGAGATGCGGAATCATCATCGTTGATTATGAATACCATTAAATGGAAATAGATATAATCAAAATAATTTATAATTCTCAGAAACATTAGATATTAATTTTTCGAATAACCCCCTCTTATTCTGGATATTGCCAAACAGCTGTACAGCACGGAAAAAACAATCGTAACTGAATTAACAAAATACGTTTGCGGTTAAGCTTTTGATAGAGATAAAGAATATAGAATTTCTGATTATTATAATCAAATATTTAGGTTTGCAGAATCGAAACATTTAAATATAAATTTGATTAATATAGTGATAATCAGTCAAAGTTTGTAATTATTATAATCATAAGGAAAAAAAAGTTGGATTAACGCGATATATGTATATGGTTGTTGAAGTATTGGTAGAACTAAATAGAATTTATGGATATCATAATTGAATCAAAAATAATATATGATATTTCAAACAAAAGTTTTGTTATTTTCACCAGAATTCATGCGATCAAATTTATTCAAGTATTTTAACAAAAATTATGGTCGTTTATATTTCATTGAAGTCTGTTGTATTCGTTTCACGTTAAATACGTCTATTAAATAAAAATTTAACGCAATTATTCGATTCTTTAATGCTCTTTATGGCGATAATTACAATCGATATTTTATTTAATGAGTGTTCTCTTTACACGAGACGAATATTTGTCGATCGACTGGTGAAGATAAAAATATGTTGATCAATTTATGACTTAGTGAGCGTGATTTTTGAGTCACGATTTCAACGTACGCCGAAAATAACCATGCGATCACGCGACTACGTGGAATATTTATTCAAACAAGTATTAGAGCTAAGACGTTATCGACTGATACGATAACGACCTTTTTTCTTTCCTGCATACACAGCACTGTATTTACCAATGCATTTTTATTTAATATTAGTGCAACTATGTTGAGGAAGAACTTATCATATGGATAACCTCGATATCAGGTGCTTCAATACGAGGAATATAGACGTCACGTAATTGCCATAGATTAACAACACCGGGCGGACTAAAGCGATACGCATTTTTATCAATAGTATCAATTGGTTTCTAACTTTTCTGCTTATCCCTCTGATCTAGTGCTTATCGCAGCTAATCAACGTATATTAACAACATCTTCAATGTTATTAATTTTCAATTTATCACGTCGCGCATATCGCAGTTAATAGAGACAGCTGTGTAAAAATTATATTATGTTCTCTCGACAGAATCTAACGCCTATTCACCTTAATCAATATTTTTTCCTCTCTTATCGCGATTACCTGCTTTATTAACGCAATACTGTAAAACGACAACATCATTATAAAAATGTAAGCAATAGTAATATAAATTAATGGTCCAAAACATGTGTTTCTTGCCGAGCCTTTATAGATTCTTTGTCGAAAATTAAAGTCAGTTTTTAGCGAAATCACTTTTATGAAACATAACATGCGTCTTTTACTAACCAGCAACTATTAATTATATATATTATCACGCGATACCGGTGCGACTCGAGATTTTATCTGTACGTTGCGCGATTGTTGACGAGCGAAAGAGATATGTTACAAACGACACGTGTGTATAGCCGTAAATCGCACGTTTATCAGAAACCGGTAATTCTGAATTGAAGGCAGAAACGTGCGGCGCGTGCACCGCGGTTATTAATAAGCCGGCGTGTGTAACTTTGCACCTAATTAATAACATCCAAAGACGAGGTGAAGAAGGAGCACGTATCATAAACGAATAATTGACGCGGGCAACGTTGATTGAAATTACGCTATCGACGTCTCGGCATGGAAATTACCGTTAAAGCGATCGATAATGACTCAGTTATGTGTTAATGCCCGATACCGATTCTTAAATTCGGTTTTAACATAGCTAGCACTCGAACAAATTTTACGTTCGCATTGACCAGATAACGGATCATTAACGAGTATCGATTAATCATCGTCATGATGACGATGAGAACGTCGTAACATCTTCGTAGTAATGTACACAATGCCTGAGTATTTTATACGTTAATACAAGATTATTGTGCGTTATTTTTAGAAACAATATAAGTAATATCGGATGATCATGTATCATTCCAGATGCTGAAAATAGCGTCTTGAACAATAGTCTATTCTAGTGAAAAATACAAGCACACGTCGCGATTCTACCTTTTAAAATAAATTCACCCTCTAAATTTAATTCCCAAGTTCAATTGGCACGCGTTCCGTGCACAGAATAACAGGAACGAGATGCATTAATGCAAAATCCGGTCGTTTCAGATAAATCGTTCCTCGCGATGGGGGGGCCACATGACCCGATACAATGCCATGATATACACTGTTTCCGTGAAAAGCAACAATGCAACGCGGGGGTGTCGAGAATGCAACGACAGACTGCACTGGCAGCTGACAAGCATAACGTTTTCCACAAAATGCTTGATTCTTGTCGTTGTTTGTAGTGATATGTGAACAAATTAATCTACATTTAATCAGATAATTCTGATTGTTTAACATACGTTCGCGATTCAGTATCGATAATAGCAAACTGTTTAACTGTCGCGCAATATTCTCTGTTAATTGAGTGAATCGAGAAATTGCGATAAAAAGATACTTGCTTATATTGCGATAGAGAGATACTTGCTTATATTCGCCTTCAAATTGATATGCTATCGCTTGCATTTAATAATGAAATAACTGCTTTTGAGAGAGAGAAATAATAAGTAAAATTAAGATTTCAGTTCCTATTAATAACGATTGACGATTATATTACGTTGATTTATACAATAGCTGTATCGTTGTTTAAAAAATTTCCGGAAACAATTAATTGAGAGAATTAATGACACAATGTGTACAAAATTTGATAACCTGTCATATAAATTAAAAATTAATATTTAATACAGTGAAAAAAAATTAACGGAGTAATTTCTCCCTTCCCTCCTTTCATATTAAGCTTCATAATCGCAAATTAACGAATCATGGTGACTGTGTATACATATCTTAGACTCTAACGAAACGTGTGTAATCTAATTGACACTCACCCGAAGCGCCTCGAAGAGGTCCCGTAGGACTGCCGCCGGTAGAAACACCCTCGTCTTCGCTGCTACTAGTACTAGCTTCACTGGGGCTATAGCTTCGCCTACTAACGTCTCCCCTGGTGATTTTCTGGCCGCTCGTTCCGTTGTTGTTGTCATGCATTCTACCCTGAAGTCTCTCGTTCATAGTCCTCACGCGCGAATGCAGCCTTTGCTGCTGCAGAGAACCAACAGAGAAGTCGAGCGGCTGATCGATTTCCGATTGCACTTGCGGCTGATGCTTCTGCACCTGACCACATACCGATCCGGCCACCAGACTTTGCGGTTGAGAAACCTGTGCGATCGAAGGTACTTGCTGTTGTTGCTGCTGTTCCTGCTGAATACTACTGGGCGGACTCCACCACTGATGCCCGCCTTGAATCGATCTCCAAGCTTCTATGGTGTTATTATTTGTAGGACTTGTCTGCTTCTGCTTCTGTGTCGACTGCTGGGACTGTTGCTGTTGTTGCTGCTGGACCATAGCAACTTCGACCAAGTTGTTGTTTTCCAGCAGACGCATACTGGGGGTTTGCGTCATCGATACTGGTAGAACGAAGGGGGGCAGTCCCACCGACGGTGGGCTGGGTTCCTGACGTTGTCTGTAGGTAGTATGATGATGGTGCTGATGCTGCTGTTGTGGCTGACGATGATGTTGCTGCTGCTGCTGCTGATGTTGTGGAGAACTCACAGGCACTACCACCGGATGCGGGAACTGCCGGACGGTTCGCGAGGCCTCCGCGACCCACCGGCGCACCGCCTCGCCGTCGAGACCCGCCAGCCCTGCGGACTTTGATTTCGACTGGCCTCCGGGCGATGATAAACCCTTGTCGGGTATCAAGCGGGACAGCGCAAGGACCCCGGTGCCCGCCACCGCGACCCTGGGTCCCGAAACGCCCCCGTAGGCAGTCAACGCCGCGAGATCCAACGTGGTCACCTGCTGGTTTCTGCTCTCGACGAAGGATCGCACCGTTCCACACAGTGGGAGGTCGTTCACTGCTAACTTAGCGGCTTGCGTCGACTATCATCACTCGTAGAACGCTTTGAAGATGAAACACCGCTTCGAAAGTACTATACTTGAATTCGATTCAATCGACTAGCCAACAAACATCCACGATTACTTGTTTGTAATGGTTTTAACACAGAAGTCACACCTTGGGACATTCACTGCGTACAATTCAACACAATTTTCCTCTACGTGAGATCCACAGTCAATATCTTCTAGTTCTTGAAAACACGATATACTTTTAAGAATGCACTACACTCATTCAGAAGTCTCACAGTCACGTTCACGTTCTTATTTTAGCGATGTACTCCAGTTTAAGATGTAACTATCCGGAGCACGAATTGTTTACCGCATAAAATGCCTAAGACCTGATGATCGTTATTATTTACAAAAACAATCTTTATCTTCATTACAAACGTATCTTTATAATAGGTCTCTTGTGATCGCGTTGTTACTGTCAGATAACTATTAAAACATTAGTCGTAAAGCACGTGAAGTACCGGCACTACTGTCACTGGTTCAAATAGTCAATCGCCCTGATTGAAGTTCAAATCCGAGTTGTCTTTACGGACGACATGTATTCACTTCAAGCACTCGGATAAGCAAGAAGTTTTTACGGCAGTACGATTCGCAAGTGTCATTGATGCCAGAGATAAGAGCACTTGCTGATGTAACTCATCAACGAACACTATCTCGCCAACATCATCAATGGTCGAGATTCCAACTAGCTGAGCCAAGTCACTACACTAATTTACCACTCTTCGTCGTATCTTATTTATTAGATAATCACGTCATCTTAAATAACACGTGCGATGATCAGCGCCGATCTGTCACGACGTAGCGCGTATCAAATCGGCCAATGATGGTGCGGTTAAAGAGCGCCAGTGGCAGTAACTACCTGCGACCTGTCAACAAGATGAGTCAGGTCAACCTGTCGACGCGTCCTTCTCGTTCGGCGTGATCAAAGACACACTTGGACGAGAGTTTACGCGACGCGCTACGACGGCGGTAGCTACGGCTGCGGCTGCGGCTGCGGCGGCGGCGGCGGCGGCTGGTGGTACAGCGGTCAGATGCTGTCGCGTGCATGTGTGCAGCTACACTAGAGGACTCATGTACGTTCGCTCGGCCGCCTACCGGCCACGGCGAACGCGGTCGTAGAACGGAGTAACCAAAAGTGGGGGAGTTGTTAGGTCTCCGAGAAGGAAGAGGAGAAGCTGGTGTGCAACAAGGAAAGAACATTAGCGGCCTCGAGCAACCATGAGCGGGACAAAGAGAACCGAGTGTGGAACGAAAAGCGTGGCCGAGTCCAGCACAGTCTGCATGACAGCCGGGGTGGGGGCAGTCAACGCGTCGGTGGGGAACGCCGCCTCCAATCGCAAGAAAACGCGGATTGTACGCGACTCCGCCCGGCAAGCCAGAGGCGAGTTCTCCGGCCGCGGAACTCGCGCGAACGCGAGCGCGCCTTTTTCATCTCGCGTGCGTCGGCTGCTGTCCGCAAAGTCGAAGAAAGAGAAAGAAATAAGAGTGAGGGAATGAGAAAGAGAGGAGAGAGAAAGGAAGAAGGAGCAAGCAAACGAATTTGCATATGCAACTCTTATAACCAATCGTCGAGCTACCTGCCCTACCCGATGGAGATGACGACGATTAGACCTTGATACTTAAAGACCCGTTCCGTGACCAATGCTTAAGAATTAAACTCGGCTTGATTCCGGAGCTGGCCAATCCGGTGGCGAGTTGCACCGGACCGGTTCGATTCGCATGCTTCTTCGCGGTTTTCTCTAATGGGAACCAGACGAGGTCGAGGGTAACCAAATGCGCTGAACGTGAAAATGCACCGTATGCGGTATATCCGTTTAAATATCTTGGAAATATCACGTGGACGCACACGACGTACAACCGCAGATAGTGTAAGATAGTGTGGTCAGCGTGTACGTATAAAGAAGAGTCGGAGATGGAATTAGTTGGAGGAGAATTCGCAAGGAGCCTCTCACGCTAGACCACCCACGCAAATCCCTATCCTTTTCGACTACTGCGTGATTATTCGTCGGAAATCAAGTGTTTCACAAAGTACTTTGCATGTTTCAAATTAGATATCATAAAATGATCTTCCTCAAAATAATTAGTTTAATACTTCAAATTCTAAAAATCAGTGTTCGTTAAATTATTTCATAATTAACTGTGTGTGTGTGTGTGTGTATGTGTGAATATAATGTATTATATGTGAAAATAAAAAAAATCGATTGCTCGATTTCATAATTACTCATATAATGTTAAAAAATATATTAAAAACGTTGCATTGATAATTGATGAACTGATAATAAACACATTGAGATTTCTTCTTCAGAGATCTTTAGGATTGATACACCTAGGGACTGAGAGCTCGTAGTATTACGGTTCGGTTGACACCGATGAGATAGGTATGGCAGCAGGTGGGTACAGTTACAGGTTGAGATTGCTCGAGAGAGCGATCTGCCAAACAATGTGATTATTTTGTGCTATGTTTACGGAATGTTCCTGTGCAACACTAATATGTAAGTTCCAGCAAATAAATGTATACAAATTTTATAATATTATAATCGATAACACAAGTACATTATGCTCGAAACAATATAATATATTCAACCATCGAATAATTAACATCTGTCACATTTTCTCAAAAATCAATAATAAAATTTTCCAATTGTTTTTAATGCATTTTCCATTGACTTGATATACCGAAAGTAATTATACAAGCAATAATGAAAATGCATCGCGGGAATATTGACGAAAGTATCGAACGTTCATGAACCTTTCTATCAGCCGCCATATCGACTCGAGAGTACCTCTCACCTATCATATTTCCATACAAATCCATCCAGTCTCACCACTCCCAAGATTTGAATTCAGCATGCGCAGTGCCAGTGCAAAAAATAAGGCGCTTTAAACTGGCCCTTTTATTGGTCGCGAGAACCATAGCACTCCCCCTACCCACGCCTATCCCCTTCGCGTTGCACACACATAGGCGTCATTGCCTTTCTTCTTTTTCTTATCGCGCTATCATATTTCCATACAACCGACATCCACCACTACCGCTATCGTCACTACCACACGTCTCTTCCACCACTACCATTGTCGCTTCACTACCACCCCTACCTTCCACTCGATACCTAGCTCGCCCAGATTTGAATCCGGCATGCGCAGTCCTGTGCAAAAAGGGCGCTTTAAAGAGGTTCTTATTGGCCATGGGAACGCTATCCCCCACTCTTTATCGCATGTACCCACGTACCTCACATCACAAACGCAGCCTTCCTCTTATCGTACTATCCTCCCCCTTCACTCCCCAAAGTTTCGTCTTCCTCATGCTTTTTCTCTCCTGCAAACTCTCTCGTTCCTTCGTCTTGGTCCCCACCAACGACTTCGTCCTTCGCTTCGCATGCCAGACCGGATACATAGGAAGGGGCAACCCCTACCTCGATTCCACCCTCGCATTCGTGGTGCAACAAGGACAGTAATGATAAGAGAACAAGGACGACGGTAGTGAGGAAAAGGAAAGAGAAGGAAGCGGAGAGGAGAGAGCGAGCCGGTATTGATTTTAATGACGCCCCTACCGACACGAAGTCACGAGAGAGGCGCGAATAATATGTACGCGCTTTGATTCTAATAGCCAGTTATTATAAATGTGTGCAAACAGAATTTCTCAGAAATTTATAAGTATATTTGGCTTAAAACGTATAGTTTGCACACGTATGTGTTATTAATAATGCTTGTCAAAATGCTAAAAATCGTTTATACTCTCATGATATTCACCCGCTCCTTATTGACGTTAACCGAGAAATCTCTCGCGAGTTTTCTCGGTTAGAGAGAAGAAAGAAGAGAGAAGAATTCGTTTTCGAAAAATGTCTGTAATGTCACAATAATGTCATGTCGACAACATATCTATCCTATAATGTTACGTCGATTGTCTTCTATTGTTAATATAAATTATTAAAGTATTATGGCACGCGGTCCGTTCCGGATCGGAAGGATCGCTCCCTGGGTGGAGTTCCGTCTGACGATGAAGGGTGAAAACACTTGCCGTGTAAAATCAAGAGGCTCAAGTGGCATTACCGAAGGGTCGCATTCAAATGCCATAGGCGGGTCCCTAATCTGAATAAGGCAGCGTGAACCCTTTCCCTTTGCTACGAACCCTCTTTTTTATTCATCATGTGCGAGTATTTGCATGGCCCATCTACCGACAGCAGGTGCCAAGTTCCCTCTTTTTTATATTCAATATGAAAGTCTATCTGGTAATAGAGATAGGTACCCCTGTCTGATAATGTGCACTTCACAATGGTGAAGGGTTGATTCTTGACACCGATTCATCATCGACAGGTGGATCTGTATAAATGCTAATTCACAGGTGATCTTTTGTAGAAAAAATCGTCAATATTAGTATATTTATGAGAGCTATATTCTCTCTATCCTCCCTCTACAGTGTATATGTATAAATGTTAAATATGCATATTATTTAGATATTATAACGATGGAAAGGCATAAATATAAAACGAGCATATACA